ACGGTTTATTCCACCCACGTATGGTAAAGTTTGGGATACTGGAGCTGATTGCTTTACCAACCGTGACTGTTGGTCCTTTTGCGCAATATGTAACAACATGATATGAGGGTTTCCATAAATGGGGGGGACCCCCAAATCATCCATAATGGTGTTTTTTCCATCATAAACCATCCATTTTGGAGTACCCCCATTTATGGAAACCCCCATATTGCTATTTGTATGGATCCAATTGCCTTCTGAGGAAGAGTTTGGCGTTATGTTTGATATTATATACTTTCTGGGAATGCGAAAGATGAAGAGAGACTGAAGAAGATGCTGGGTAAAAAACATAACGGCACGGAAAATAAAAGAAAGATCCGTTTTCTCCGTGGTTGAAATTTTGACGCTGACCTGATATATATATAATTATATATATAATTATATATATATTATGTGATATATATATATATAACATACTGTATATCTTTCAAGCTTACGTTGCCCGTCAACCCATCTCGAGACTAAACCTTGATTCTCCGTCAGTTGCACGGGTCAGCAAGTCATTTGGGACATAAGCCACAAAGATGTCAGCATAGTAAGGAAAAGGAGATTTATGCACAATGTGGGGCCCCCCAGTTATAAGTTGTTTTATAAGCCCCATGAACTATAGTTATAAGTACCATACATCATACTTATTGGATTTATAAACCAAGTTAACTATCTAGGCCCCACATTGCAGGAACTTGTCGGGATTCTATATATACTATATGAACAAAGAGGCTCAAAAACACAACAAGACCAAGGCTCCAACCAACTCTATACAAACATAGGTATAACATATGTACTGAACATCTACACAGCCATGCTGGTAACAAAGATACATGTTATGTACATGTTATCAATTTAAAATGAAACAAACACGAACATCAGGATCCCACTTGCCACGTTTCTTTCGAGCATGGTTTCATGTGCGACATTCATTTCTTTAAGTGGAACTGTGATCATCTCGTGCCTTTCCCGTAGCGTGTATGTTGCAGCATTGATAGCTGGAGTGACGCATGAGCAGCCAGACAAACCCGAATCAGAGTCTTGAGCAAGGAAGTTGGGATTGGAATGAACTGCCTTATAAACTACTTGGTGGCTCATCCCACTTAGTAAGTGGGTTATAACCCCAGTGATTTACATGGGATAAGTAGGGTTAATCCACTGAAATCACTGGGGTTATAACCCACTTACGATTCGTGGGATGAACCACCAAGTAGTATTGGCATAGGAACAGTGCAAAGGAACACAAACAACATCAACATCATGTTCTTTGAAATCCAATAGGCTGTGCTCTTAGCATCCAGTTCACACGATCCCAAAACCGTCAACAACACGGGATAAATAAACATATGACCTGAAAACAATGGGTTTTGGAACATTTTGCTGCCCTTTAGTTGGCATTCATAGAATATGGTTGGCATAAACATATCTGGAAAACCCCGCATCCTCATTGTTTCAGACATCTTTTGGCACATAACATTTTGAAAATCCATCAACATATCCATCAAAGTCCAAGATATCATCGGTGTCTTAAAGCCATGTTCCGACCGGTTCATCCATGTTCCATGGAATTTTCGCACCACATTTGTTGTTTCGCCGAACGGCGTGCCATCGTTGGCACCATGGCGTCGCCGCCAGTGGGCACCACGCCGTTGGCGTCGGCGGGCGCGGTGGTGGAGCGCCTGGCGAGGCTGGAGAGTCACGTGGCGGAGCTGCAGAGGAGCAAGTTGGAGGCGCTTCGAGCGGATGGGGGGGGTTGGGCCCGTTGACCCAGTTGGAGGACCCTTCTTGGTGGCTCATCCCACGAATCGTAAGTGGTTTATAACCCCAGTGATTTACATGGGATAAGTAGGGTTAATCCACTGAAATCACTGGGGTTATAACCCACTTACGAAGTGGGATGAACCACCAAGTTGGCAATCCTTAGCATCCAACTACCAAATATCATAGGCAGTGAATGGTGATTTTTTCACAAAACATGGGATAACAATGGTTAATTATGGCTGAGTATGGTTGATAAATGTTGATAATCTGGTTGGTGGTTTGGAACATGAGTTTTATTTTCCCCAAGAGTTGGGATGATGATCCAATCTGACTGATATTTTTCAGAGGGGTTGAAACCACCAACCAGTAATGATATGATAACTGATTTTAGGGTACCAGTAGTACCGCACAAGGCGGTGGCGGAAGTTTCAAAAATAGGAAACCTATAGGAAAGGTTGG